CTATAGTCAATGAAAGTAAATATGAAGGGAAGTTTGTATCTGAAGCATTTTTGGAGGTGGATTTTGAGAGCTAGGATGGGTTCATTAATGTTCTTGTTTGGCCTGTAGGCGCAAATATTACTTGACAGGAGGTTTTTGGTAGAAGCGAGGATTCTGTTCTTCAGGAGCACCATGAACACCTTTAAGACTGGACCGGGGACGCGTAGTGTTTTTGAAAAAAAAAAGTGTTTTTTGAAAAAATCACTAAGTTATAAAATAGTTTAAAATATAATATTTACATATTCTGTATTCTTTTAATGAGCTAAATATGAATCCGTTTTGATTTTTAAAAAAAAACTGTATTTTGACCGGGGACGCATAGGGACGCGTAGTTTATTTTTTAAAAAAATAAATTTTTGTAAATTTTATATAGTTACCGTATTTTTTTTAAATTAAAAAAAACATTTTCTAACTTATCTTATAAAGCTTAATAAGATTTCCTATTAATAATAATAGAAATAAGTCGTTTTGACCGGGGACGCGTAGGGACGCGTAGTTTTCGGGGACGCGTATTTTAGTCATTCCCCAATATATGGAATGATATTATCAGGATCCATACCAGTGGCATAGCTAGGAATTTTTCGTAGAGGGGGTCCATACATATAAAATGCAAAATCATAACCATATCTTCGATAATATATAATAAATATATTTTTTAAATGCATCAATAATATGTTATTATAATTTAGTCGATTATTCTCAATGACTTTATAATAATACTATCCAGAATAATTTCAATAGTAATATAATATCCTTCCACAAACATCAAAACCAGAAAAATATAAATATCAATGGTATTAGTCACTTTTAAGTCTTTAGAACATAAAATCTAAAAAAAAAATTTTGCTCTGGGAGGGGTCCAAACCTGAAAACCACCCCCGTAGCTACGCAACTGATCCATACTAACACCAAGCAGTTTGCTCATTTTTTTATTAACAGCACAACCATCACATACTATGGCCTTACAGATAACTCCTGTTTCATTTAGATTGAACAATGCAACTCTCACTAAATAGCTAGGATATCTGAATTCATTTGTGAAACTATAAAATAGGCTATTGGCATTTACCAGCTGCTATTAAGACAGGTAGCCATAAGAAACAGTGCCTTTGTTGCTTCTGGACAAGATTTATCTTCTTTTGTTGATTTTGTCCCATCACCTAAATCAACATAACCATGATATTCTGCTTTGTGGGGGTCATAATCTATTTGAGTTTTAATATGCATTTCATCAAGGCTAAGTACACAATACAACTGCTTTTCTGAATTTTTTTGGTAGCTTTTAATTTAAGTAAATGAAATAGAAAGGAAACCTTTATTTAATTTAATTTATTTTTTTAAAATTATTATAATAAACTTTGGCATGATTTCAATCTTGCGACTCCATGCCCTTAATGTGGATTCCGGAGGCATACAAAAGTGTGATTTGAGATATCTGTAAGCCTTAGGTGAATAAAAATGCATAGTCAATGCAAATTGACGGAATTCATTTGTATATATTTTTTTGTGGGTTTGAGATGCCTCCACTGTGTATATGTGTTTTAAGGAATATTAACAAATTTTCATCTTTTAGTGAAGTGATTAATGTTTGTAAATTGATTATTTTATTTTTTCCTCTTTTTGAGCTTAATAAGCATGTGCCCTTTTTTTAAGCGTTTAATAATAGCCTCTTGGTAAATAATTTTTCTTTTTAATGTTTCATATTTTTATATGTATAATTGGATCATTTTCATATAATATATCACTTTTTAATGGTGTTTGTATGTTATTTGAATAAACATTCGTTTTCTAAAAAGTATACATTTTAAAATATTGTTTTAACTATGTAATGATATTGTTAACATACATCATGAAGTGGCCTAGATATACTAAATATCGATGGAATTGAATCTTCCTTCAATAAAATCTTTCCGGATAAAGTATGAATGAAACAAGTATTTTTAAAATGCCTTCCACAAATAATACTATATTTATTAGGCATAAAATTTTTCCTATTTATAGCCTGTAACCATTTTTCCAATAATTATTTGGATTTTAATGGAAATCTATATTTAAAAATAGGTGAATAATAATGAGTAAAATATAAGATATATTTATGACATTGATACAAAGATAGATAGTATATAAAAATCAATATAAATATCAGATCAGTTATTAGTAATATAGTATTGAATCAGTGAAAATTTGTTGATTGGCAGAGCCTCTATTAATATATATATGGTTTACATATTTCTTACAAATATTTAAAATGAAACTGTATCATAGTAAATATGTATTTTAAAAATGGCTAACTTAATATTTTATCCAGAAAAATATTTAGGCAAAGTTCAAAATAGAAATCTTATCAACTCAAGAGGAAGAAGCATTATTTGTCCTAGCAATAAAAACGAGAAAACTTTATATTTTTACTAAATAAGGATTTTTTTTCAATGTTTGTAGCTTATTAATGCTTTATGTAATAAATATGTTGCATATAAAAAATAATATATATACTTATGATAAGAAATATGTGTATTAGATTCTATTTTATTTGTTTTATTACAATTATGAACACAGCACACCCATTATCTAAATAAAATAATAAAAGTGATATTAAAAGATCTGTTTTGCATGTATCCTAAGATGCATTAACATAAGATTTATAAGTCCATGCAGGATTAGGTTAAACTATAAAATAGATTATATACAATTAATATTATAATAATTGTATATAAAATATATGATCATATTTTATATTAATAATAGAAAAGAATATATTAGAAAATTTAATTAATTATGATAATATATTATAAATTGCAGATAATTTACAAAATTTTAGAAAACTCTTCTAGATCTATTAATATATAACAGACAGCACGATTATACTATAAATATATCTTTAAATCAGTGATGAAGCAAAATAAAAAAATGCTTATTTTTTTTTTATATTTTTTTCCTTACTTAATTAATGTTTAATAATTGTAATTATGTTATTGAAAATTTATTATGATTATCAGAGTTGTATAAAAAGTATATGCATCTATATACCATTTCAGAGGTATCTGTTTATAGATACTATTTAAGATACATTTTGATATACTTTTATTTAACGCCTTTTTAGCTAAAAAATAAAAATATTTAGATACAAATTTTATGTTATATGTATGAGCATATAATTTAAATAAATATATATTATAAAAATATTAAGACTAATATAATAAAAAAAGAATATATATAATATTAAAACTCATATATAGAAAAAGATATAAATATCATTTTTTTCCCATTATCTATAGATATCAGTTCAAGATTGTGAAGGATATTCTTATCATGCAAAGGAATTTATAAATCCTTGCTTAGACATGACGCCTATTAATTATAAACAATACCCAGAGTTGGGCAGGTCATCCGGAAAAAGAATCAAGATACAGATACAGATTCTTTGTGAAAAAATAAATCTTAGATATAGATACTAATATCTTTTTCAAAATAATCAAAAAGATACAAGATAAAAGATACTTGTATCTTTTGCCTAATTAGAGTATCTTAAATACAAGATACTTCTAAATTATCATTACCAATTAAATTAGAATAGTTTGTAAAATACAGTTTTTATTATTTATTTGTGAAGAACATAACATACATATAATAAGAATGAATATTTACAATAATTAATAAAATATTTAATGATGAGTTGATTATAATAATCAGGTATTTTAATATTAGTATTAGCCCATTCTTAGCATAGATGAAGGGAGACTAGTATTTTTAATGGGAGTTGAAATATTAATTTGCAAAAAAGTATTTAAAATAAATTCATTATTTTATAAGATAATCAAATTTTTCAAATATTTATAATTGGACCTTTGCCGTTTCGGCGTACTTAACATTGTGCCAAAACTAAATAACCTTTCAATTGGAGCTGATGAAGGTATTGCAGTATTAAATTTATAAAAAATTTCCTTAATGGAAGAATAATTATTAAGCATTTATAATGTATTTCGACTTTCTTTAATATAATTTAAAACCCCCAGTTCAATGTTATTTATATTATTGAACTCCGCAACCTTTGTTTTACCAAAAGAAAAATAATATGGATGTGATATTGATATCAAAAAAGCCTCATTATATTCAAATCATAACTAGTATCTTATTAAAAATTTCAAAAAGATACTGAGTACAAGATAAAAATATTTTTGACTTTGATTGAAAAAAAGTTATTAAAAAATTTAAAATCTAGCAATAATTATAATAATTCTGTGTTTGATCATTTTACTCAAAAACAAAGACGAATTATATTTATTTATATATTTTAATCTTTTTATGGTTTGACTAAAAATAAAAATTCTATTGCTTCCATAGTAGTGAATTTGACGCTTCGTCACTGCTTTGAAACTATATAAATATTGAAGTTTATCATAAGTACTTTTGTGGGTTAATACATAAATTCTTTATCATAAAATTAAATTTTTTTATGCTAATATTTAAAGTTTTATCTTGAGGTAATATTAGTTCAAAAATATGTTTTTCTGTAAATGTTTAATTAATCTATATACCTACCCTATTATCCAATATTGTTACATTAATATATAACCCATAATAAGATAGTTGATTTTCTTAACTATATCATATCTTTGTCCTCTTTCCTAACTATTCAAAAGTCTGACTTTTAAAACTTTTTCTAAAATTTAAGTGGCACGCTTTTACCTGGTCAGAAAATTGAACTTAATCAAGAATAAGTAGTAATAATATTTTTAGGGATTTATTTATTATTTATGTCATAGAAAATTTTAAATATATAATATACCAACAATATTAAAAATAATATATTTCCATTGCAATTATTATAATAAGATTACATATTAGTATTGCGCTATATAAATATGATTAAAAGATTGTATGGTAAATTATTAAAAATGGTTTAGTGCGTGTTAACTATATAAATAAAATATCAATGACGAAACAATATGATAAGGTATATGTAAAAAAAAAATTAAAAACTATAAATTTTGAAAATGACGTATACCACCTATGTCAAACCCGACTATAAATACTCGGATTAATAGTAATGTTATCCTTTATTGACAATATAAAACAATATAGTTAGACAATGGCAGAAAAATTAGAGTGATTTGATTTTTTTGAATATAAAAATTTTGATATTTTCTCCAAATATTCTATAGGGGTAAAAAAACCTCCACAGTATAGTATTATATTTTCATTAATTTTATCGTCTAATATACAATATTTTTTTTTTCCGTAACCTTTCTGCCATCATCTAATTGGATTAATTTTAAGTCCATATCTTGTTCTATAATTTTTATGGTGTCAATAAAGAGATTGGGTCACAGTAAAATGTGACCCAAATTTACCCCTACCCTTACAAATATTCTTTCGGCATTTGTAATATATGTCGCCGAAATCATGGATGTATAAATATTTGTTATAATATATCATTTTTTTGTTGTTTTTTGATGTTATAAAACTATATTGATTGTTTTGAATGATAGCTATGTTCAAAAATGATATAAATATCTATAAGATACTATTTACTTGGACTAGTGGTACCTCCATTATAGGCATCTATTTCCTCCAAGACCTCTGGGTTCATAACTTTGTTAAAAAATGGATAGCACAAATATATAATTAAAATTTACTTGGACTAGTGGTACCTCCATTATAGACATCTATTTCCTCCAAGACCTCTGGGTTCATAACTTTGTTAAAAAATGGATAACACAAATATATAATTAAAATTTACTTGGACTAGTGTTACCTCCATTATAGGCATCTATTTCCTCCAAGACCTCTGGGTTCATAACTTTGTTAAAAAATGGATAGCACAAATATATAATTAAAATTTACTTGGACTATTGATAATTCTGTTATCGGCATCTATTTCTTCCAAGACCTCTGGGTTCATAACTTTGTTAAAAAATAGATAGCACAAATATATAATTGAAATTTACTTAGACTGTTTGTGATGTCCAAAACTTGTAGATTAAAAGCTTTAAAAAATTATTGTAAATATATATTTGATATTTTACTTTGGCATTCTGCAGTGCATATATTTGATGCTATAATATAAATACACATGATTCAGTAATTAAGTTTTTAATTTTTTATACTTGGTGAAAATAATGATATATTTGTCTGTGTAGAGGCATCCAATAATAGAGCATTATCAGCTAAAATATATTTATATGAAATATTTAGCTATAAAAATCACTTTGTGTGAATATCAATATATATCTTTTCTTAGGGCAATCAGAGTCTGTGTAAAGAAATAAAATAATTTATAAATCACAATTATTTACCTTGAACAGGGAGGTTCACAGATGGACCTTGAGAACAAGAAGCTAGACTTAGAGAATCATCTAAATTGGAATATTAATTGGATAATATATGGTAAAATATTTATAACTATTTACTTTGAATTGGCTTGCATGTTTCTAAATGTTTTACAGTGATGCTAAATTCAGTACCACAAATTTTAGCTCTTCCTCCACATTTTCTTCTACATGTATAATATATAGCATTTTTTCCATGCTTATGCAAGACATAATCATACTTTCATAATAAATGCACTCTCTGTTTTGCCTAGTTTTCTAAAAAAAATTAATTATTATATGCAAATTAAATAATATATACTTTAATTTCTAATTTTCTTAGTGTTGATAATTGTTGCGATATATCTTTAACCTCTTTAATTTTCATAATTACTTCAAATACAATTTTGGGAATCTTCGAGATATTTTTGGGAATCTTGGCAATACGACAAAACGCCTAATTCATAATCTTCATACGATTTGGTGGGACGATACCCCAATTTTAATTAGTTCGTCTATTTGATCAATCTAAATTATATTTTGCAGAGAAAAAAAAAATTTAAAAGATTTTAAAATTATAAATTCCGCTGCCACCATGTTAAGGTTGGCAGGGAGAAGAACAAAATTAAGAAAGTGATAATAAAACTTTTTTTAATATAAACAACTTTTTCATATCATAAATTATTTTTATATCATATTCTTAAAAACTTTTTTATCATCAAGATGTTTAACTTTCACCTTGTCTCTCTTATGGCAGGTGTTGTCAAATCTGTTGTGGTTTTTGAAATCATTAAAAGGCTTGTAATTATTATTATATCCATTGTTGTTATTATTAAATCTATTAATATTGTTATCTCTTGTGTCGTGATTATCGAAAGGAATATAAGAAGTTTCCCATCTATTTTGATCATAAAATCTATCATAGTTTGGTCTTGGAAAATGATAGTTATTTTGGTTGTTAAATCTTTGGTTGCCATAATATGGTCGAGTCTGCCATGGTTGTCCAAACTGATGTCTGTAAATATTATCATAATGTCTGTTGCTCTCAGTTAATGACATTATCTGGGTATTGTCATATCTAGTATTAGTCAGTTTTTGTTCGTAAACTTTCCTATCTTATCTTACTCCCTTTAAATGTTTTAAATCAGAGTGTGTATTTTCTTTGATAACAATCTTATATATAGATATTTCGTATATATTTAGGAAATTCGCATTTATATGATATAGTATCATTAGAAACATTAATTTTTTTTATCTTCCATTATATTTAATTAATTGAAAAAAAAATTTTATTCTTGTTTCTTTTTTTATATAATTTAATTATTTTATTTTTAGAAATATTAAATTTTAATAAAATTTTAATTTACAAAGAAATTTACAAAGATAGCCACTGGTAAAAATTTTTTCAATTAATTAAATATGATGGAAGATAAAAAAAATTAATGTTTCTAATGATACTATATCATATAAATGCGAATTTCCTAAATATATAGGAAACATCGATACATATTTAACCAAAATTGAACTTATTTTTTAAAAAAATAGCACAGATGACGATAACGCCACGACCTTACTTCATAATTTACCAGATGACATATTTTCAAAATTAAATCTATATGCACTGAATCCGATCTCAAGAAATCGTCCATACTCATCAACAAACTTAGATTATTACAGCCTGCCAAGATTCGAAACAATAAAATTAGCGAATTCAATGCAGCGGTTCAAAAAGAGAGAGAAAGTTTTTTAGATTGGGCTACGCGTATTTGTCAACTCAATATGGACTGCAACTTTATCGGCTACGACAGGGTTTTAGAAAAAATAAAGGTATCAAGCTCATCTAAGGAAATTAAATTCAGAATTAAAGATTTACTCATTTTAGATGACATTATAAAGGTAGGCAAAGAATTAGACGAAACTGACATCGAAACATCTATACATAAGATTGTTATCAAAGAAAATACACACTCTGATCTAAAACTTAAAAATATTTCACTGAAAAAATATAATAAATTTATTCTTTATATAAAAAAAATCTATTAAATAATTTAAATGAAACTATTAAGTGAAGTTAATATAAATGTGTTAATTAAATGAATGTAACATATAAAAATTTGCGCTATATAACAACCAATATAATAAAATAATTATCCATGATGTTAAGGTTGGCAGGGAGAAGAACAAAATTAAGAAAGTGATAATAAAACTTTTGTTTAATAAATTTATTTTAAAAATATTTAACTCTAAAGTACAATAAATTTCTACGCTTATATAGTTTACAAAATCTATCAAGTAATTTATATCGACTTATTGATAATTGAAAAATGTTTAAAATATCGTTTACATATCTTAATAATCTTGTTATTTTCCCATTTTTAAAATCTAACGAAGAGCTTCTGTTGGCATTATATTATGTGTCACTTAACGTATTCCTTGTTTTCATTACATTTAAAAGGAAATTTCCATGATTTTTTTATTTTCAAATTTTATATGTGTTTTATTGTGGTCTGATCTTGTGTTGCATAATCGGCAAAAAACTTCCTCTATTATATAGAATTAGTTACAAAATACTAGGTAAAATTCCACTTTTACAGACATATTTGACAGTTAGAGAATATATTAGTTAATATTTTAACAAATTTTACTAATCAATGCTCTTGATAATAAATATGCAACAATTTGCATTCAATTATTTAGCGCCATCTAATTATTTTAAATAAAAATGATATTAAAAATTAATCTTCATATTATTCATCCCACAATGTATATAAAAGATATTTTCTGATGTCTAGTTTTCTGTAAAATATATAATTTGCTAAAATGGTAAAAATTTCTTGATTGTCATATGATAATTGATAAAATTAGATATACTGTAAAGCTACAACATATAATATTCCACTGTTTGTATTGTGCTTTAATTTTTTTATTTAATTTATGATTTAATTTTACCAATAGTTTTATAATTATATTTTACTTTTATTAAGATAAATAAATTAAAATTACTCACTTTATAAAAAATTATATTTGATATATTATATTATTAAGTAATTTTATGGATCTATTATTAATCATTACAATACATTTCACTTTTGTCTTAAGACTTATCTTTGGCTTATATTCCATTTCTTAAAAAACATCTTTAGTTCACTTTTTTTATATATAAATGCTTTTTTCCAAAAATGTATAAACTATCAAGAATAGTTTTATAAAAAAATAACAAATTTTACATTCTTTCTTTCAAATTATTGTTTAAGATATATGCATACATTTTTGGGGGTCAGGGAGTGGGGGGGGGGGGTATTTTTTATTAGCTTAAAATGATATTCACAAAAATTGATAAATTTTTGAAGGGGGGGATTTCCACTTGCCCCCCCCCTGGCTACGCCTATGAAACATAAATATATATTATTTTAATATTTCTACATCTTAACGCACGGAATTATAAAAAATAATGTCAATGGGAATCTCTCTATGAAATAAAAGGTCTTTAAAAAATTTCCTAGTGTCAAGTACTTTTAACTAGTCCCAAAACAAAGTTAAAAATTTTTATATTTTAACCTTCCTCGTGGAATAAAATGGAATAGCAGTGTGAATTTAATACTAGCCCCAATGGTTTTAGAACTTTTTTCCAATAGTATGAACATTTTATTGGGCTCAAAATATAAATATATAATTTTATTTTTACATTTTACGCGGAGGTTAAAAAATATAAGCTATAGAAATTTCTTTGTGAACTCAAATATTTTAGAACATCTTTATAGTATGAAAAACATTTAACTAGGCTTAAAATAAATTTTAAAATTTTTTCTCGTGGGTAAAACATAACGGCAGTGTCAATTTTTTACTAGAGCCAAAAGTTTTAGAACATCTTTCTAGTATCAAAATCTTTTAACTAGGCTTAAGATAAATTTTTAAAAAATTTTAACATTTATTTTTTTCTTGTGGGGTAAAATATAATGGCAGTTCAAATTTATTCTAGACCCAAAGGTTTTAGAACTTTACTAATATCATAAACATTTAAATAGGTTTAAAACAACGTCTGATTTTTCCTTGTGGAGTAAAATATAATAGCAGTGCCTATTTATTACAAGACCTAAAGGTTTGAGAACATCTTTCTAGTGTTTTAGAACATCTTTCTAATATCATAAACATTTAATTAGTAAAACAACCTCTTAATAATCATATTTTTTTCCTCGTGGAGCAATAATATGGCCCCTCTGCCAGACCCAATAATTCTAACTACACTAGGACATGAATGGTTAGAAACTGTACCTAGTTCTAATCTAGGCTTGTTATTAACCAACGAAGAACTCAGAATAGCCATAGGCCTTCGCTTAGGATGTAAAATCGTAACACCTACATCATGTGTCCTATGTGAAACCCACATCGATAGTCTTGGACACCACCCCCTTCACTGTCGTTTCTCAAAAGGCAGATTACCCAGACACCATGCTATCAATTCAATCATTAACAGGACTTTGAAATCCTCAAATATTCCCTCCACCCTGGAATCATCCGGCCTCAGCCCCGACAATCAAACCAGACCAGATGGTATGACGCTAGTCCCTTGGAACCAAGGTCTACCTCTCGCCTGAGATTATACTTGCGTGGATCGTTTTGCCAGATCTTTTTCTTCCAACTCTATCACGAAAGCCGAAAACACAAAAACAAACAAATATAGCAACCTTAATAATGTTTTGTTTGTTCCGGTAGTCTCAGATACCTGTGGATCATTTGAACCCCAAGCCCTAAAATTATTCAATACAATAGGGCAAAGGTTACGCTTAATCACAGATGACCCAAAAGAAGGCTTCTACCTTCGACAGAGAATATCAACTGAAATCTGCCGGTCTAATTGCATATCCATACATGGGTCTAAGCCCCGTTAATCATACCTAATTAAATGTTTAATTATTATTTTATTTAATATAGTTTTATATAAATTTTATTTTACAAATAGTTTACATGTTATTTTATAAAAAAATAAAAGAAATGAGCGATAAAAAAAAAATTATAATAGTGACAATTAATTACAACTCCTAAAAGGTTTAAGAATATCTTTCTAGTATCAAAAACTTTTAACTAGGCTTAAAATAAATTTTAAAAAAATTTCACATTTATTTTTTACTTGTGGGGTAAAATATAATGGCAGTGCCAATTTATTACTTGAACCAAAGATTTTAGAACGTCTTTCTATATCAAAAACATTGAACCCAGATTAAAGCAAACTAGTTTAATTTTTTTATGTATTTTGTTGACCCAGCAGGTCAACCCAGCAGGTCAACCCAGCAGGCCAACTATACCTACAAAAATACGAATCGAATCGAATAATTGCATTATTCGTATCGAATTTTCGAATTGAATAATAGAACTATTCGTATTCGTTTAAATCGAATAATTCATTATTTGTATTTGTTTAAATCGAATAATTTATTATTCGTATTCGTACGAATAATAAAATGATTATTTGATTTGATTCGTCGAATATACGATTCGATTAAAATTTTATTTAACAATAAATTAAAAAAGTCGATTATAAAATTTATTTTGTAAAATTTAGCTATGGATAAAAGACAACCAAATTTTATTAGTAAGATAAAATAGAAGCATACATATATAGTATATTTATATATAATGTAGAAAAATAAATATAATATTTATATCATGTATAGGACATATCTGACAACAACCAATTCTTCAAACACAAAATTTTTAACTATACTTTGGAGTTTATACTATCACCAAATGTAGATGAGATGATAGCTTTTAAAAAATTTATCACAAAATGATAATACATATTTTAGTGAATTTTGATATAAGTTTAAAAAATACTATTACATATACTTATATTAAATTTTATACAGATTTACTTGTAAAATATTTTTTACAAAATATTGGATTTATAGGTTTTAATATAAAAACTGTTCATAAAATTTATAAATTACCCCCAACATTATTTTAAAAAAGTTAATAGATCATTAGTACCTTGTTATATGAGTACAAATAATTGTAGGGAATAATAGATTGTCAAAAAGCTATGCAATCTAAAAATACAAAAC